ATAAAGCTGTCCATTTACCAGTTACCAACCTTACCTATGGTCACAAGCTCAAGGTAGTGAATACAATGATGTAATCTCAAATACAAGTAATGGAAATTCCTCTAACTTAGAAATAGGGTGAGGAGCTCAGTCATTTATGAGTGTCTTAGATTAGAGCCGCTACCCCTCAGCATCGAAAGGAGCCAGCTGAAGTGATTCAAGCATCTGACTACGATACTTCCTGGGTGCCCTCTGGGTGAGGGCATACCCAGCACACGCTGGAGAGATTATATCGCTCAGCTGGCTTGGACACATCTTGCTGTCGCCATAAATAAGGTGGAGGAGGTGCCTGGGTAGAGGGAGGTCTGGGCTTCTCTGCGTAAGCTGCTCCCCCACGATCCAAACCCAGATAAGTGGCAGAGGATGGATGGATGGATGGATGACAATCTTTTTCTCATAATACAAAGGCAGGTACTTACATGACTGTCTTATTATCCATACATATTAGAATTTTCTAGGTTTTAGTCTTCCTCTACAACTGCAATAAAAAAAATACCGGTAAGTGGGGTTTAATTTACTCAAAGGAAAAAAGAATTTTGTTTGTCAAATGGCAGAAAAATATTGTTGTTATTTATATTTTAGCTCCTGCAACAAAAGTTTGCTTTAAGTGGTTTAAATGTTAAGTATGTGAACATCAGTGCTTCCAGTTATGTAAGATTGACACAAAAGCTTTATTTTACATACAGAAATAAACATGTTATTGATGCACTTTTCCTTCTTTTCTGATACCACTAGCACCTAAAATAGTTTAGAAAAAAGTGTTGAAAGGTCAAACACAGACACATATACACACATACGGAGGTGAAAAATACCTGAAGCAAGAAAAGATCCGGTAAACACACTTCCACATCCATACCAACACCTATCTATACTTACACAAATCTCCATTTAAGTGCAGACTGGGTAAGAGAATAAGAGAAAATGATTGTAGATATATAGATTGAAACTTTGTTTAATATATCTGCATATTAAACAGTAACTTTAATTAGCTTGTAATTAGCAAATTGCTCTGCAAATGACTTCTCTGTTGTCTGATAATGTACTCAAATTTTAAATAAAGTGAATTAATAACTAATGAGATTACATGTTTTTGAGCATTTGTCTGTTCTTTTTGATCTTTTTGGAATAACTTGGTCAAAAGCAAACAGAAGAAGGATAAATATGTGCCCCCTTTGCTAAAGTTTGTGGTGCAGAACAGGTCGATCTGTTGTCAGATAATTGCATTTCTCTAATAAAAACACTTAAAAGAATAATTTAGAGACTAGACTATTTACTGACAAGCAGTTTCATGGCCACGTGAGACCTGTTACCTCATTATTTCATGAAAAATAAGCAGATACAAGATCTGGAGTTGATTCCATGTTGTGTTGTTGAACTTAGTAGCTGTTCACTGGAATTCCCATCAGCCACCATTAAGTTGAATACCAAAAAACCTAAAAACTTTAGAAGTGCCTAATTCTACAGTCCACTATATTCTTAGAAAAGGAGGATTATTGTTATTGCTGAGCACTGGCCAGTTCAACAATAACAAAAGGCCATGAAGACCACAGAAGACATCTAAGGTGGGTGATTGCTGAATTCTTTCCTTGGTTAAGAAAAACATATCGAGTCAAAATCTACAATCAAGAGATACATTAATGTACCTGAGACAAAATTAGACTTTACAAGAAAACACCTAAAAGAGCCTGCTGAGTTCGGGGGGGTCAAAGGTGGCAAGCACGATCCAGTGCAAATGGATAATGACCCAAAGCAAAGTGCAAAAGCAACAAAAAAAGATATTCTTCAGTTTCCAAGTACTGATCTCATGTTCTCTATGCAAACAGAGCATGCTTTTCATTTGCTGAAGACAAACCCGAAGGCAGAGAGATCCACAAACAAGCATCTGATGAGAGGAAACAGCATTTGGTCTGCACTTTAGTCACGTGTGGACTGTTTGATTTAAAACCCACTGTGTACAGCTGTAAAGAATGACTCTTTAATTGTTGGTGGGCTGGGATTGTTTATGATACGGCGTGACGTCACTAGTGTCACTTGCCTGAACAAGCAGAGAGTAAACTGACTGAGCCAGTCTCCATGAGCCTCTGCAGACTCGACCGACCGTTTCGCAGCTCACTCACGGACCTGCATTTACACCCCAGAATCGCGGATAACTTGATTCTGGTCGGCCGGGAGGATCCGGGAGGTCTCCTCCTCCCTCTCCTCACCATGAAGGCGACCAGCTAACGCTAGCCGAGCAGTGTCCGCTAACAGCGGGACTCCTCCGGGCTGACAGTTTACAGCAGCGGCGGGTTCAGAGGAGGAGGAGGAGGTTAGCACCCAGCTAACCACACACTGCTGCCTGTGAGCCGATCAGGAGCTGAAAGGAAGGATTAGACGGTGAGTGAGCTCTGTAGCAGCGTTAGCCACATGGTTTGTTGTTATCCTCTGTTTACTTGCTTTTCTTTCATTGCTAACTTAGCTAGCTAGCGTTAGCGAAGTTAATGCTCCACATTCAGTTTCTGCTCGGGGCTCTCAAAGAGATTTGGGCGTTACATGCTGAATTGAGTAGACTATTAGTTCAGGGAGGTATCATTTCAATAACAGATTCCCTCCTGTGGGCTGCTCTTTATGTCCAACATAGTCTTTGACTCCAGGTTAGGGTGAGCAGGTGTCCCAGTTTGTATGGGACTGCACAGCACCTTCAGCCTTAGTCCAGTTGACATGTTTAAGTTATTGTGTTACAATGAGAGAATAATTGATAGACACCAGCGTAAACCCCCCAACTTTAGCAAGAGTCATTTATATGTATGAGAAGCTGTAAAAATTGGATAAAAATTAAATGCAGTATATTTATAACTTTTAAAGATCTCCACACCAACACGTTGTCTTTATGAGGTTTTAATTTGCTTTCGGAAAGGCATCAGACAATAACACAAAATACAGCAGCTGTTTGTTTTTAAAGTTATATACGCTGTTGACATCAGTAATTTCTTTGACATTTAGTTTGTCGGGATCTGGTAACTACTGCATGCATGTAACATATAAACCTGTGTTGACAGAATAGTGTCAACACAGGTGAGTGTGCGGGTTGAGAGGCAGATTTGCATTATGATGTTATAACAGGTGTTGTGGTCAGAAGTAGGTCATTGTTGCTCATGTATTTATTCTTTTCCCCCTCATTTCCTGTTAGAAAATGTGATTAGCTGAAAATAGAAAGATTTCCTCTACACGCTGTAATGCATTTTGCCATCAATGTTGTTAATTAATTAATTTTATGTAGGCCCTACAAATATCCTGAATAGGAAATGTAATGACACAACAAAGTGGTGGGGGAGGGGGGGGGGGGTTTATTGCTTTATAATACTTAAATAAATAAATACGATAATATAAAATATTATAATAATAAACACTTGTTGCAGATTTTCTTAAATCTTTGTCGCACATCATTTTTCTGCAGCAGTTCTTGGACAGATTGGACAAAAATGAAACCAACACTAAAACCTCATTGCAGTTGTGAAGCATGGTGGAGGCAGCATCATGGTTTCAGAGATCTGCCTTGTGAGTGAATGAGTGGATAAATTAACCTTGTGATGATCGAACAAACTGTGTAGAAAAATAGCCAATATAATAGTGTGCATTATAAGGTTGATTTATGTGTGGCTTATATGGGATTTATTTATTTATTTTAAATGTATCTCTGGCCTGATTCAGCACGTGCCCCCCTGCTGGTGCATGTGTCAGCTTAACGTCCTGATGTTAATCTGAGACTCTGAGGAATGACCTGCGAAGGGTTAAAGATATCCCGACTGTTCTTAGGGCTCCTGAGATGATCTGAGATCATTTGTATGGGTAATTATTACATTAGTATTAACAAAGAGTTCACACTCTTTCTCGCAGTTGTGTGCGTTGGTGTGTGGAGGTATTTACAGTTTGATTGTGTGGGGCAAAGGACCTATTTAAATGCTGCAGGCTGGGAGTGTCCACTCTTTGTGCTCGTTCATCATTAACCAGACAGCATGTCCTGCAGTGCGAGTCAACAGTTGAACTGTGTGGTCTGAAGGTTTCACAAATGTTCTCCACTGCAAACATGGACCCTGGGTCCAAGGGGTTGGTTGCCACAGAAGATGATGTATGATGGGATACAAGAGAGGTGTGCAAGTTTAAATCACAAAAGGTTGCACTTGTTGTGTGTGTCTTTATATTTTGGGCTTGTGTGACTGTGGCCGAAATTATGCTCATTATTATTTAATGTTATAACTTGATTTTTGGGACATCGTGCACTTGCTCTTGCTCCTTACTACACTTGAAACCAAAGTGTTTCCAAAGAGATGAAGTCATTTTACTTCATCTGAAGCTCCAACAGCCTGTAGAGGGAGTGAATTTGGGGTTTCAGAGAAGAGTGAAAATGCTTCAGCCTAAAGAAACAAGAGAGTGACAGCATAAAAGGAACAATTTTCATCTGAATTATTATGTTCTTATAGTTGTTCAAAGCCATATATGTAGCTGATGAGTTTTCTGAATCACATGCATTATTCAATTTGCACAGAGGATACAAAACAATGCATTTCTAAACTGCTAATTCCATCTCATTTATACATTGTATTGTGATAAATATCTCTGTAATAATTGTGTCATTTAATCCTTCTAATATTCATAAAAGGCAGTTTTAAGTAGTTTTAAAATGAAAGTTGAAACAAGTTAAACTTGAGTTAAATATTTGATTAGTCTGTCAGAAATTCAGATGAATTATTTATTTATTTTTATCTGTTTTTATGTGTTTATTTTTTTTATTGAGTTGGCCTCATTCACTACATTGAGTCACTGGACTCTACTCTGTTTGTGCAGATTGGAGACTTTTGGAGTGTTTTTAATGGATTGTCTGATATAGTTTGATGTGACATATAGATCATCCGAGAAGCTTGTCTTTAGTTCTTTTTAGTTGGCAAATAATTAGCGTGTGCGTGTGCGTGTGTGTGTTGCACCTGCATGTTAGAGTTTGACATGATAAATTACAGTCTAACTTCAAAATGCAGCCTCCAGAACTATTAGGCGATATCATAATGTCTCTTATCTTTCATGTTGATAATGATATGAACGATAGTCCTGGAACTGCATTATGATCTGGTAGAATAACACCAGCACGGAGATATCAGATACTTCATATGCAGCAGAGGTCGACCAAGGACTCGGCTGTTAATGGCATTTTCCCCCATGAAGCGTGGTACTTAAACTCTCCACCATCAATACGCAAACTGACTACTTGAATAACTGACATCCAGAAGTTAAAGATTCAGCATAGCTGATTTACTTCACACCATTTTGGCAGTGCTGGCTTGTGTATTGTAAAGCAAACTAAAAATTAAATATATAATCAGTAACTTAATGGCTGTTTAATTCTTTATATAAGCGGAGTGTATTTTTCTTTTGTGTGCCTGTATGAATGGAGTCGGGTGGGTGTCAAGTAAATTCTGAGGTCATACTTGCTGTGTATGTGCTTGTTCTGTCATCTGTGTGTGTTTGGCGAAGGCCAGCAGGGCAGGGCACAAGGCATGGCGTTGTATCGTGACCAGCAGCCCCAGTTACTTGGAACAAAAGGGCTGTTGTTGAGAGATCATGTGACTGTGTGTGTTCCACCCTTGTCATGTGATGTGAGCTCAGGGCAGGGTCTGAGAAGTGCTGAGTCGCTCTGAGAGGTTCCTTCCACCCAGGGAGCAGGCAGAAAACGAGCATGCACACAGGAAGAGGAGAGTGCCGGTCGGGTGGATGGATGTCAGGACAGAGAGGAATACGGAGACATCTTCAGAGACGCAGAGAGATTCAGAATAACTTCTGTTGCTTTCTCTACAGCAAGAAAACATCACATCCTTCTTTCACTCTCCTCGATTCTCTTTTTCTCGATTTCAGTAAAGATGCAACGCAGAGTTTTGCATCGGCTCTGCGGCGAGGCAAGTTTATTCTAGTTTTCTTTTTAGTTCATTGAGATTGAGTGGTGGTGGTGGGATGGCTTACCTGATGTCACAATGGCTGCTTAACCTCACAAAATCTGGAGACTTCGCTTACTGTGAACCCAGAACAACATTTGTAATTAAATTTAGCTGCTACTCTGCTCTCATCCTGGCAATCGGTTATGAAGTTAAAGGTGGGTTTCGCACACATGCAGAGGAAATGCAGACCGGCGCAAACATTTCCCATTCCTGGAATACCAGCATGACTAACTGACTTTTTACTCATTTATGTTTGAGCTGAGAAGTGAGACACAGCCACGTGTCGTGTAGCAGGTCCTGTAATACTTGTTTGAATCAGTGCAACCGGCCTGAGAGAGCCGGCTCTTAACAGATCTCTTTTGTGTGTATGTGTGTGTGCATGTAATCAACCCACTGTGGAACTGGCCCTGCAACCTACGTATTCAATACCACTGCAGATTGTTTAGTTGAGTAGGTGAAAGGGTTTTTGCCGATCAGTGTCGTCATATTAGTGAAAACCTACAGTACACTTTCCACACGCAGGAGTCTGTACTTTGACACTCAGTCGCTTTCTGATGGACAGAGTGAGATAACTTGGATAGTTTACGAAAACCCTGTGTGTCACAATCGCTGACTTCTCCATGAGCTTGCATAATAACGTCTGACGGTTTGAGCGGAGTAGTGAAACGCAGAGAAACGCACACACACACCTATATTTGGTTACCCTGTTTCTGTGTCAGAGAGCAGGAGGCATGAAACCTCAAACCTGAAAAGGTACAGTGTCTCTAACGTCTCACTTTAAGCGCACTGAAAATTTTATGATTTTATTACAGATAAAGCAAACAGTTATGATAACGCCAAAAGGCCATTAAAAAGTATTCCAGTACAGAATACAGTGCGGTCGCTCAGTCATTTTAGCTGCTAAGTAGCCGGATTGCTTGAGAGTAAAGGAAGGTTTACTCATCTTTACTTTCAGAATAGAAACCTGCAGTGTCTTGATTTCTGGAGGCTTTACACTAAATGTCCGTCTTTGAGAGGGGTCACATGATTGCCAAACATGTCTGTGAGGATAACGTAGCCCTTACAGCTCTGCCAATTAGTGTCTGCCATATGATGCTGAATAATTGAGCAGAGGACTTCTACTGAGCTGATAGCATTCTGGTTTCAGTAGCCGAGGGAACACCAGCACAGCATGGCTCATCCATTATACAGCACTTGGAGTAACCGAGCATGTCCTGAAACACACTGGTGGAGCGCGTTTTGTGGTCAGCTTGGTGCACCAGGGTGGGTATAAAACTATAAAATACTAGCAGTGGCCAGTGGTACCCCTCAGCCTCCTAGTAGATGCACCTATGGTATGAATCGCTTCGTTCTCGGATTCACAAACTTGGGTGTCCAGGCTATGTGCCCACCTGGCCGTCAGGGTGACGACAATACCGCCTCAGCCTTTTATGGCTGAGGAGCAAAAAGCCCTGGACCATGCATGAATCCCATGTCTTGTGTGTTGTAGTTAATGACCTGCTCAGTTTGTGTCTTCTTTGATATTGAAAATAGAGTGTAGTGCATGCTTCAGACAAACCTTTTTCTATAAAATATATCTGCAATAAGCTATATTTGCATTAAAATCCTATAATTATCTTAAAATCCTGTCCATGCTGGCTTTCCTTTCTTGCATAGAACATTAGTAAACATGTATTCAAATGCATAGTTACTTACATCTGAAAGTTTTTGAGATCGCAAAACCAAGTTTTAGCATCCTAACTACCAGCATGAGGACCTATTATGCTCTATATTTATATTCAGTTCAAAAGTATCTGAAACATTTTTAGCTCTTCTCCACCCTTTCTTTCTTTCTGATTGGCTGTCCCCTGTAAACAGAACGTTCAACCAACAGTTGGGTGGGGCTTAGAGCTATGTGCCTGAAATGATCATAATAAAAATATCCCTTCTCCTTGACACCATACAGATCCAAGAGTAGAAAAAAAAACAGACTGAGCATTTTGGAGCAGTTTGAAGACTGATAGGCAGCTGATGCTCGCTGTTGTCGTTCTTACAACAAGTGAGACATCGTGACCGACTGATCATGCATCGATGCTGTTGTGACTAGAGGCTAGAGGCATGACTGCGTCACTATCTGCCAGCATGTCAATGACACATGGGTGCAGAAGCTCAAAGGTTCCTAAGAATTGCTGCACACAGGGAGATTACTGCAGAAACCTTTAAGGAAACTGCTTCAAGTGCTTTGTTTCCTATTTCAACATCTTCTTTTAATATTCCAGCAATGAAGTGGTGACTTCTTTAATTTTTCTGATTTCAACAACTATCAGCTGCCATGAGTCGAGCTCGCTTCAGAAGAGATTTTGTTTTTGTATTGTGAGCATCAAGTATTGTAACAGTTTATATCATGTTAAAAAAACAAGAAAAACCATAATGCGGACTGTTCTCCACACAGTGAATTTTCTAGTCCTGCACGTGGAGTTGCAGGCACAGTGTAAAAGCCCTGCAGGTTGGTTACTACTGTTACCCAGACATAGTTTGTTAGCCAGACCAAGTAATGCTTTCACAGCAGAGCATATGAAAGCACAGTTTAATTCATTTCTTACACTTTTTAGTGTATTTAGAGTTAAACCCCTTTCAAGTACATGGAGGAAGTTTGAAAGGGTTTCTGTGTCTATGCTTGGTGAACTATGATTGTTTTAGGGAGGGTTGGAGGTGAGATACTTTGATGCTTTTAGTTTTACTTTTACTGAGAAGTTGAGTTTTTTTTTTTTTTAAATTTTATTTTCTGTTTGACATACCTTTCTTTCCTTACTTTCCATTTGACAACATCAGACCACACCAACCCTTTAAACAGTGGGCAGTTAAAGATTTAAATGACTTCCTGCTGTTGTGTTCATGTTTGTATATGTTTTGGCCCAGCAGTGCAGCTCTGACGGGAAAGCGAGGGCCCTGTGGTTCCACCTTGTCTTGATCTTCCACTGGACACTGTGCATGTGTTTCAGGGGGTGGATTTGGCTTGTTGCCAGCTCATTTCTTCCTGTTACAGCAGAAAGGCACTTCCTGTAGGCTAAAGCCAGAAGGGTGGAGATGAGCGAGATGAGATTGCTCCCTTTAATGAGAGCTTGGCCTGTAGTTTGGACAAAGGAGGAAGGTGTGGCAAGGAGCTGGCCAGTTTACTTCTGTTTTGTAATGATTTGTACTCTGATTTTCACAGCTTTGGGAGCTTTTTAGTGAGACTGGTGTGTGGACTTTTTGTGTTAATGAAGTTTTTGTTTTTGTTGCCGCTTCTATTTTTTTCCAGCCCACCAGGCAGAGCAGCTGTGGCAAATTGCAGACGAGCATGAGTCATGACCTCAGTGGTGCTGGTTGACACTGGTGGGACAGTGGTGGAGTATGTCACAGCTGAAGAGGACCCAGAGCAGGTGCAGCAGACACAGACAAACTCATTTCAAACTTACTCTTTCAGTTAGAAACATCTTTTTATGACAGTTTCTCTTTTTTATTCTCCTTGCCGACTTTCTCCAGGAGGAGGGAGAGTGTGAGGTGGACTTGGAGCTGGAGGGAGAGGTGGAGGGTGAGTGTGAAGCCGAGGAGGCCTATGAAGAGGAAAAGGAGGAGGCTCAGGACTACCCAGCAGTCATAGTGGAAGAGGTTCCTAGTGCCAGCCTGGCTGAGGAGCAGAATTACTCAGCCCAAGTGTTGTTGTATGGTGATGAGGCCTATATCATGCAGGAAGTGGGAAACGAACAGGAAGTGGAGACGGATCGGGACCCAGGTGAGGAAAAATGTTTTGTGTTACTAAAAGTGCGCCACGGTCTTTGTTATGTTATTGCATCAGTCAGATTTTGAATAGTCTTTCCAGTTAAAACCAGCATAAAATCAGATTTTTTGGAGAGGTTATTTTATTGCCTCAAAGGCAATCAGAATGATTTTTAAAACTGCACGTGATTGTATTTAAAAAAAGACCCACAGCGGACCGTCCTGCCCAAAGATACAGAACAGCAGTGTGAGGGGAAACATACGAACATGAGATTAAAGAGGCCCAGCCAGTTACAAGAACCTCGATAACACTTAACTCAGGCCATCAGCTTAACAAAAGACACCAACTAAATCACTGAGCAACATCTGTGCTGTACTTAAAAAAAATGTCCTTTAAAGTTCAACATAGCCAGACTTTCTTTGTGTTAGCTGGATGAGTAAATCCTTAAACCTCGGTCAGAGATGACTAATATTATGATGGTGAATATCAACTTTCTGTTAACTCAGGCTTTCTGCTTCAGGTGTTGTTTCATGCATCATTTCACTCTTCGTTAGCACAAAACTGACCAACTAATCAAATCAGGAATACGGGTGATAAGGATCAATAAAGAATATTTTTAAGAAGTCAGAAATCAACACTCGTGCTACAGATAAAGCAAGAGAGTAAAACTGCAGAAAATTAGTAATCGTGTGAATTCATTCCTTAACTGTATTTAGGGGTGCAAATTAGAGCTCTGAATCTTTAAACTATATTTAAACTATTTAAAGGTTACTCGGTGCATTCAGGCCCTTACTCTTGAATTCCTGTGATTACAGCAGGGCTTCCCTTGTATCTGTCACTATTCAACTCCCAGTACTTCTTTGGTGATGGGAGTCAGCACACTGGGAGTGCACTGCCACCTTGTGGGTGTTGTTGTGTAGTTGAATTTTCTGTTTTATGAGGTTTTATCCCGTATTTACTGGCTAATAACTGTGAATAGCTTTAGCGTTAGCCACTTTGCCTTTCTTAGCTTCTGTAAAATGTCCATGTTCAGCCGGGTGAAGGAGGTTTAAGTGTTTGTTGTTTCCCCTCCTCACAGTTTACTTAAACAAACTTTGTGTCTTCACTTACAGTGAAAAGCTTTCATACTAACAAGATATCAGTGCGTGTTTGTGTGCCGCTGTGCACATGTCCTGCGTGCATGAAATAGACCAGCTCATAACTGGACATATGTGAGACTGACCGGTCGGTGACCTCCCCGAACAGAGAACATTGGAAATTTTGATTCTGGTCCTTAGACAGTCAATCTGTGCGTCTCTATTAAAGATGATAGAAAAAGTGTATTTTTTTAAAAAAGAATAATTTAGAAGAATAATTTAATAATAAAAAATAATTTTATCATAATAATTTTATAAATAAAAGTCTGTCCCTCTGCTCATATTTGTTTTAAAGATGCGGTTACATGTTTGAACACACTTTTTTTGTGTGTGTTATGTGGAAAAAAGACACGGTCCACAGAATAGTGGCTCTCAGTAAGAAACCTGTTGAGTTCACATTTAAGATGATGCATTGAAGACATGTAAGAGGCAGTCTGATATAATTAATAAACCGGGAAAACTTTTGCCAGCTACACAAAAAATACCTGATGTAGTAAATCTGATGATGTAGTAAACTCATATATGCAAATTATTCTTTCTTTCTTTTTTTCCCTTCATTTGCTCAGAAGGTTTTCTTGCAATTGTTTCATGGCTCAGACTTTAGTTTGGTTAGATTACCAAGTGCACAAAACAGGAGAGTCATTTCCTCAAGGTGTAGAAAATGATTAATGAACTCACCGCACACTTGGTTTGGGGGTCACTGGTGGAGCGCAGAATATCCTCAACACAATTCCATTTGTTTTGCAGTTTTTCAGTGAGATCCTCCTTTAAAATGAGCTGTGCCCGCCTTTAAATGATTTATTTTTAATCCCAAAGAGACATAAATACTTTTCAAAGCCTGACTTGCATAGGTGTCCTCCTACCACACTAGGTGTTAGTGCAGTAGTTCATGTGTGAGTATTTAACCTTTGCTTTACCAAACTCCATGTCTCAATTTTACTTAAGTTGTAAAGTATGTGATTTAAAATGAACTCCCACATAGATAATAGATTTATTAAATTGCAGCGTTTCAATCCAGCTCACCTTCATACACACGTGTGTAAATGGGCCTGGAGCTCCATGCTTGAAATCAGGCTTTGAAGTTTGTACAAGAAGAGAAAGACATCCAATCAATTTAGACATACAGGTTTTTCGATCAGGTGAATACTTCATACTTTTTGCTTCATGTGTAGCATCATCATCAGGTAGTTTATTTCTCTTAGTCGTCTCAGAAACCACTGAATCACAATTAAGCTCACTGACATTCATCAATAAATCATTTATAATTGTATAAATATATGATGTTAAGTCGCAACATATGGCAGATTTGATCTTCTTTATTTTTCCACTAGCTCTTTTAAGTTGACCAATCCTAATTTAGTTTGCATAAATTCATTATTTTAATCCTCACAAAGCAAGTTTATTTCTTATTAGGCCACATTCCCTTGTGTGTATGTTGTATTTCAGTTCAAAATGCTGTCATATATTTAAAAACAGTGCTGCTCTGCCCTCCTGTGGCATTGTTATGTGCCATGACCTGTAAGCACATGCATGAATATGTATCTATATGTATTACAGATAGTCAAAGTTAAGTTAGTAAAATGGTAATATGACAAAATAAATAAAACAACGATAAATACTTTCCAGCTCCAGGGGCGTAATTTCCAGGGGGGTTAGGGGGGT